ACCCAGCCCTAAAAAAGCAGGATGCATGAAGCAATCTTTTAATTTTATGCTGCCAACCTTAGCAAGTTAAACTGTAACTGTGAAGGCAGCAGAAATTTGTATCTGCTTTCTTTAATTGCTGTCATGAGCTACCAACAGCATCATGACACACTTGACGTGCAGAAAGTTTCTTTTAAGGCAAACCAAATTTCCAGCCATATTCACTCAATGATTTCTGATGCCAAGGATGTTTCCTCCCTACCTGCTTACATCAGCCAGGAGAAACAACACTTACAGAAAAGATTTAGATCTAGAAAAGACTTTAGTCCAAACCTGTTATTTTACATATAAGGAAAACTGAGGTCCAGATACATTAAATGACTTGTCCAAGATCATACAGGTATTAAATGGCAGAGTTGAGTAGCATGAGCCCAAATTCAAAATTCTCCCTACTACATCATGCTGCTGTCTCTGACCTAAAAATCTGTGCTGATGACATACTAAGATCCAGTGGCAAGAATTCTGGGTCAGAATCAGGCAGCCTGTCTAGTCCTGGCTCCACCACTAAAATTCCCTGGGTAAATCAATTAATTTCTCTTTCTTTCAGTTTCCTTTTATGTGAAATAAAGATAATATTTCTGCCCCCCCACACACACCTCAAATCTAGAAGGACAAATAAACAACATTCAAATGACACATATGAATGCTTTTTAGGGAAAAAAGGTGCCATTGACCAACGTCCAATTTATCTGCGAGGTGATGCTGCTTCAATTCTGTTGATTTATTCAGTTTCTCTACCTACCTCTTTTGTTTATTTCCTCAATGAAGTTTAGGAAGATCTGGCAAAAGTTCTAAGTTGTGACACTAGGAAAGATATTTTAAACCAAAAATATTTAGTTTTTCACTCCTCTGCCTAAGAAGGGAGAATCAAACAATAAACTTAGAGAATGTACGTATGACTTTACTTATGGCGAGGGCACTGGTCTTCAAGGTAATGCTTTCCAGATCTTCCATAGCCAGGTCTCCACAACATGACTTTATTATTTAGTTTGAATCATAATGTATCCCCAGTACAAACTCATATTTAAATAGATCAAAAATTTCTAATTCTACAGGCAGTTGCAAATGACTTTTAGAATATCTGCCACTATTTGCCTCTATCAGCAAAAATAATTAAGATGTTACACACACATAGATGTGTGTATGTGTGTGAGAGAGAGAGAAGTATTGTTATTATGCTCATTCTGGTAATTCAATTTAACAAATATTCACAAAACATCTACCATAAGACCTGGTAGAAGTCATTTCAGAGATAATGTATATCCTACCCTCAAAAAGTTTATAATCTAATGGAGTATATACCTAGTATATAAATACTGTTAAATAAGAGAGAATGTAAGTGTCATAAGAGAGGCAACAAAGTACTTTGAGGGCTCAGAGGGCAGAGTGCCAATCATACCCAGTTGGACAGAACCAGGAAGCTCTTCATAAATAAGGCAGCATGTACGTGGAATAGTCCTTTAAGAATAAATAAGATCAGGGGCAGCTAGGTGGTGCAGTGGATAGAGCACTGGCCCCGAAGTCAGGAGGACCTGAGTTCAAATCTGACCTCAGACCAAACACTTGACATGTACCAGCTGCATGACCTTGGGCAAGTCACTTAACCCCGACTGCCCTCACTACAAAACAAACAAACAAAAAAAAAAAAACCAAGAATAAATAAGATCATGACAGAGAGAGATTGATAGACATGGGGTGGGGGGGAGGAAAGTCAGAGAATTCTCTGCTGAATGCCTGGCTGAGAAGTTTGAACTTTTTTTCCAGCAAACAATGGGAAAACCACTAAGTTTTTTCAAGTGGGCAAGTGACATTATCAGAACTGGGATTTGAAAGATGATTAATTTGGTAGCAGTATGAAGGATAATGAGTTTTATCACGTTAACTAAAAAGAAACTAGAAATAGATAACTACTAACCCCATCTTATGTATTCAACCTTATTTCCCATTCCCATATTCACATACATACACGCACACACACCCTCCCTTACTTATTCTCCCCTTGGTACCTTTGTTCATGACATTCTCTAGCTCCCCACCCCTAAATATCCTCCTCCATTTACCCAAATCCTACTAATTTTTCAAAACCCATGAAGCTTTCCCTAATGATTCTATCCCACAACGATCTAACTCCTATTAGACTCACTGTCTGTACTCAATTCAATTGAACAAACATTATAAAACTTTATAAATGACCATTTAATTGTACTTAACAGGTGAGTATTTTAATATATATTGACTTATTTCTAATTGTTTTGTTTAGGTTTTATCTCTCCAATCAGACTGTAAACTGGTCAAGGATCATGTCACATGGGGTGGGGGGGTGGGGCAGAGGTGATAAATTCTCCACAGTGCTTAGGCAACTGTTAGGCACATTCTAGGTGCTCAAAACCTATTGATTTTCCAAGAGCTCTACTCTATTTAGGAGATAAGAAGTGGAGATGACTGGACCTTAGCTTGAAATGCCAGCAGAGGCCTTATTATAAGGCCAAATGCAGTGATCAATATTTCTGACCAGGATGCTGTTCAGGTTTGGAGAATCTAGGGATCAAATTTCAGTTTTGGAGTATTTTATCTCTCCAGATGCCCCATAGTCAATGTTATTTCCTCTTGGGTACCATCTTCAGAGTCTTGCTCTTTGCCACAGTTCTTTTCAAACTTTAACCCCTACTGCAGTATCTCCAAGTCCTAAAGAATCCAATACGGTCCTTGAAAAACTTCAGGCAGTACTATAGTAGTATTACCTGAGCTACAAGGGAAATCAAAACCTCCTCACTATAACCTAAAATTTCCAAAGAAGTGTCAAGCAATGTCTGCAAATCCAAGGAGGGCTAACAGAGAAAATCCTCATTTAAAAGCACCAGTACAAGTGAAAAGTAAAAGTCACAATTAAAAGGGAGAACAATTCAAATTTCAACCAATCAGTGCATGTTCTCATACCATCAGATCATCTTAGAAGAGGGACTTTAGAAGTCACCTAGTCAGGTCCACCACTCCATCCAGGAATATTTCAAAAAGCAGCAGCATATTTTGGGAAGCATTTTAACTGTTAGACAGTTCTTACAATTTTCATCCACTAGCCCTACTTCAGCAGCTACAAAGCCTAAGTCTACAGCCTCTTCCACAAGCCTCAGTCCACGGCCCTTCAACTGTTATGTTCTCCCACTAAGCCTTCTCTTCGCTAAGCTACTCAGGCATGGTTTAAAAGACTCCTCTCCCTAGCTTATTATCCTCCTCTGGACATTTTCCAATTCATCAACATGTGGTATCCCAAACAGAACACAATACTTCTGAGGTAGTCTGAGCAGCAAAGAATAGAGTGTGACGAATTACCTCCCTAGCTTTTTTGTCAGCCAGGTCTTCAGGTACAAGAAATGGCTGCTGCCTATATACACTGAAGTAGATGACACTCGGAAAAACAATGATGTGATAGCAAGCAGTTCACATATAAAGGACAGAGATTACACACAGGAAATCAACTCTCTCAATCCTTTCTTCCTCCAACCCTCACCTTCCCATCAATCCCCTTTTAATGAACTCGTGAGCTCTCCAATTTTACTGGAGTGTTCTAATCAGAATAGCAGTGTTCACCTTAGATCCAGCTCATTTTTACCTAGGGTCAATTGGAATGAACCCACACATGGGTTTCTAAGATTTTGAAATTAGGGAATACTGCTGTCATCAAATAAAGATGAACTCTGCCAACTTCTACAGTATATCCTGAAATGATGTCAGAGCTCCGACCACAGCTCCAACAACATATATTTGTATGAATTTTCCATTATTACTTGAAGGTCTCTCCTAAAAGGCTACACTGAGAAATATGAATCAAACTACAAGCTTTCTTTCCAGGGCTCCTGATCTATAGGTATAAACCTTCGGCCAGAGATGTTAAAAGCTAGGGTTATAACGCAACAGCTCACCTCTCAAATAAAATGGTCTTATTTTAGCTTCCTCTGTCTAAATGCCATCTTGAAACAAAGCAAAAGTTACTTTATAAACTGCTTTCATCACTACAGCAGAAAGGGATGCTGGATCTAACACCTGACTAAATTCAAAGCACTGATGGGTTCATCCCAGTATTATCAGTCAGAGAGAAATGATACAAAATACACCAAATATACTCATTGGGACCCAGCCACATGAACCACCTGCAACAGTACAGATCCCAACATCAGGGCTTTATTAAATCATGAAAAATGAACAACTGGGCATAATAACCCTGACAGAGCTTGAAAGACAATAAGCTATGATTAAAAGGTTTTAATCAACTGTCATAAAGACAAAGGACAAGTATGCAAACACCTAAGAGGATCTTACAACAAAAAAATAATTTCAAAATCATAATAAACTCAACATGCATTTTCCACAGATAAAAAGCCAAAGTCAAAATGCCACTCAGATCACTCTTTATGTGAACAGGCTAATGGGAAACAATATAGTCAAAGTACAGAGAAGAGTATATGTATGGGATGAAAATATCTGAAGAGACCCAACGGCAATGGGTGGATCCAAAGCACCACGTTGAGCTTTTCTTTCAGAAACAAATCCTGGACAAATTCCACATTTTTTTCCAAACTCTTTTAGAGAACTTATAAGGTTGTCTACATTTAACCTGGATATATATATAACCTGGTGATATTTTGACTTTGTTTAAATAATACTCAAGAAATTGAAGGACCTCTCTGTCTTTTACAGCACCCAAACAAGACCAGAACAACCAAAGATTGAATTTGAAAATGTGGATGTAGCAAAGTCTCCAGGACATGAAGATTTTTTTAAGTAGGGGTTCTTTTTTTTTTTTTTTAAGATGATGTTATCAAAACATAAGGGCCAACAAGTGAGTTAAATAGTCTTAAAAGAAACTCCTTAGATGAACGGCATTCTGGGCTTTGAAGTCTGCAATGACAACAAACACCAAGGCCCATCACCTACCCCTTCTCCATTTCTCCTAGGGCACCTACCTTACTGTAAGTCACTACCGATAAGTTGTTTGAGTGACTGCTGGGGGAGAGATTTACAGAGTTTTGTGACAGTCCGTTTTGATCTTGTTCAATTTGGTCAGGAGCAGGAGCCCATGTGTTTTTGCTGATAGAGCCTAGCCCGGAACCCCCAGGGTCTTTTAGGTTGTTTTCATCTGGTTGCCTGTTCTTCTGCGGAGAGGCGAATGGGTTAAAGTTTCCTTCTACCTTGCGGTGCGGTTGTGTGTTGAACTCGGTTTCAAAGGATGACAGCTGCTGCGTTACTCCTAAAAGTCCTCCCACCTCCACACTGAGGATCACCCAGATGACATCTGAAAAATAAAATCAATTTACATGAATGCAAGGAGAATCACCCTCAGGCCACTGTGACTATCAGAGAGAATCCCAACGCTGAACAAGTCTAGAGGCTGGAATGTGCCTAACAGGAACCAAAGGGGGAATGCTATCTTTTTAAGAACTGCTGCTGTGGCACTTCTACACAACGTTTTTCGTCTTTCTTTTTTTTTTCTTTTTTTTAAATTCCAAATTCAACTTTTATGGGTCCTGTGTAGTAAAATGGTCATTTAGACAAGAAACTGGCAAAAATCAGGGGAAAAAATTGTTTCAGTCAATAGTAACAGGGCTGTGGGGAAACAAATACTTGAATATACTGATGATGGGTTTCAAGCTCTCTTGATGATTGGGGGAAGGAATTATTACCTTTTTTACACCAGTCATTTTCTAATATACCATTTCACCACTATAACCTACCCATGTAACAGCAACAACAAAGTTGAAAACCAATTTCACAACTACCACACCTGATAGTACATACAATCTTATGGACCCATAGTCACCCACTTCTACACAAGATAAAGGAAGTGTGCTCCATTATCTTATTTTCTGGGACCATCATTGATCATCTAAGACAGTATCAAACTCAAAAACGAATGGATCCCTGCCGGCTGCATACTGACTTACAAAACCATAAATTAACATTATATTCTATTGTATTTCTATTTTGTTAAACACTTCCAAATTACATCTGGTTCCCTGCAGCCTGCTTGAGTTTGACATCTCTGATCTTTGGTTGGACCATAATTTAGTACGTTTTGGAGACTGATAGCGCAAAAAGAGTCACAAAACTGATCATATCTTTTGACTCGATTCCAATGCTAACTATATGTCCAAAGTAATCATAAATTCACTTTCCCCTTTATATACATATAATATATATTATATATGTGTATATATATGTGCTCAATTTTTAATAAAAAAATCAGAAACAACTTAGTTTCAATAACTGGAGAGTAGCTGAATGAATTGTGGTATATGAATGTAATGGTAAATGAATGTATTAGAATATTATGGTATATAAAAAATAAATGTGAAACATACAAGGAAATAGACAAAGAATTTATATATATTAGAGATGTAAAGAAAAACTAATAGCACCAAACTTCATGTACACTAAAAATGTTTTTTTAAAAGATAAAAAGTCAAAGGTAGAATAACTTCAGGCAGGCCCGGAATGAGAGACAGAACAGAAATTGCTTTTGCTAGTTCATTAATTCATTTAGCTTTGTGTTAAATGCTAGGGTTTTACCCAAGGTTTTCCTCCTTATTGTATAGGCTTATTTTTTGATTAATGATTAGTTTATAATTTCAAAATTAACATCTAAAATTTAATACCAATTGTGCTATAATTTAATACCAATTGTGTTTCAAATAAATGAAAGCCCCAACTACTTGGTTACACTGAAGAAAACAGTTTAAGGTATACCACACCTTAAATTTCCTAATTTAGTTCCTTATTTCCTGAACTGACAGACTAAGTTAGGTATAAAGTTTAAAAAAAAAAAAAGGCTTCTTTTAAATTAAATGGCAAGACTCAGAGAATAGTTGTATTTACATTCTCAAAGGATTTACATTACATTACATTACATTACATTACAAAGAATAAAAAAATTCTAGCCTTTCAGGTAATTGCTGAAGGACTAGGATAGGGACCAATCTTAAACTGATTAGGAGTGACAGCAAACAATGAGAAGCAAGGTAAAAAAATTCTAACCCAATTTCAGTTAAAAACCAAATAGATACTTAGCAACCCTGGCTTTATGAAATTATACAGCATGGGATGCATTTCCTAGTCAAAAGAAAGTCTGTTGTTCAGAGCTGTCTTGGAGAATACCTTATCTTGGTGGCAACATATAAATGACTCTCAAATTCTCAGATTAATCTAACAGCTGCAAGTCCAAATCTTAATGTAAATGGGAATATAGTGCCATCTACTGTTACCTTATGGCAAATAGTTCCAATTAGCCAAGGAATATAAGGTCCTCCATTACTACACTATGACAAAGAAAAAGCTAGGCCTGTGTGTGAAGGGAGAGTGGAAGGCTGCCTTCAATCTAGACAGGGCCAAATCTCAAGATTTACACAAACAGCATAGGATTCCAGAACATCAAGAGAACACATAGTGCACAGTTTAATTTAGGAACTTAAACTATCAAGAGCAGAGCACAAATGTAAATCACAACCAAATTAATCATATAAACTACAGTTTTTATTGACTGGGGCAAAAAAAATCAAGTGGTGGGCCTATATTTAATACTGTCCTATACTAAATGCCACCACACAATTAAACTTAATTTACCATACATTACACCCAACAATGCCTCACTCTAGGTCAAAGACTCTTCACTGGGGTTCACAAACAAATTTTGTGAGCCCAAGAACTTGGTAAAAAAAATATTACATCTTTGATTTCGCCAACTTCTAACTGAAATTTAGCATTTCCTCCAATTACATTTTTTAAAAAGCAATGTTCTGAAAAGGGGACTCCTTAGGCCTTACCAGAACATCAATGGCACAAGAAAGAACCTCTGCTCTAAGTGCTAGGGATACAAAAATAAAAAATACAGGTATAAAATCTATTCTCTAGTGTCACATAACTAGAAGGTGGCATCTCAGTTGAGTTTTGAAAGAAAAGAAGGAATTCAACACGTTGGAGATGTGGTAGGATGTGCTGGTTTCAGGCATGAAGCAGTTTGTGAGATGAACTCATGTGAGAAATAAAGGTAACTCAAAGTTAAGTTTCTTTCTCCCTCTCCACAATATCTTCTTTCACCCAGTGGTTTTCTATGATTTTCCTGATCAATAATCTGTGACAATGACTAAAGTAATATAAATGAAAAGAATGTTTTTTAAAAAAGATATCAATAAAAACTTATTAAAAAAAAATACTTTCTAAATCACTATTGATTAGAGAAATGCAATCAAAACAACTCTGAGGTACCACATCACACCTATTAGATTGGACAACATGATAAAACAAGAAAATGATAAATGCTGGAGAAGATGTGGGAAAATTGGAACACTAATGCATTGTTGGTGGAGTTGTGAAATGATCCAACCATTTTGGAGAGCAATTTGGAACTATGCCCAAAGAGCTATAAAAATGTGCATACTCTTTGACCCAGCAATAGCACTTCTACAGCTGTATTCCAAAGAAATCACAAAAATGGGAAAAAGACCCACATGTACAAAAATATTTATAGCAGCTCTTTCTGTGGTGGCAAAGAATTGGAAATTGAGGGGATGCCCATCAATTGGGGAATGGCTGAACAAGTTGTGGTATATGAATGTAATGGAATATTATTGTGCTATAAGAAATGATGAGTAGACAGACTTCAGAAAAACCTGGAAAGACTTATATGAACTGATGTTGAGTGAAATGAGCAGAACCAGAAGAACACTGTACACAGTAACAACCACACTGTGTGACAACTAACTTTAACAGACTTAACCCTTCTCAGCAATGCAAGAATCTAAGACATTTCCAAAAGTCTCATGATGGAAAATGCTATCCACATCCAGAGAAAGAACTAGGAGTTTGAATGCAAATTAAAACATACTATTTGCTCTTTTTTTTCCTTTTGTTCTATTTTCTTTCCTCCTTCTTGTGGTTCCTCCTATTGGTTCTAATTCTTCCTTACAACATGACTAAGGTGAAAATATGTTTAATAAGAATGTATATGTAGATCCTATATCAGAATGCACTCCGTCTTGGGGAGGGAGGAGGAGAAAAATGTAAAACTCAAAAGCATATGGAAGTGATTACTGAAAACTAAAAATAAATTAATTTTAAAAAGTTGAAACAAACAAAAAAAGAAAATAATAAAATTAAGTCAAATGAAATACAATTGTAATGACCAATATTGGGCCTTCACCCCTCAGACAAGTGGAGGGATTAGGACTATAAATTCAGAATGTTTCATATGATTTCATATATGGTCACTATGTTCACTGGTTTTGCTTTTAACTGTTTTTCTCTGTTATAAGGCTTGAGAGAAGGAAGAAGAAGAAATAGGTCTCGATAATGACTATAATGTAAAAACAAAACAAAAAAATCAATAAAATCTTAATGAAATAATCATGTGCCCAGAAAATAGCCAAATATAAGTGCTTTTTCACAAACTGCTCTAGGCCCAAATCCTTTTTTTCCCCCTAAGCGAATTATGTGCCAGACATAAGAGTACTTACAGCTGAACCTATAAGAAAACAGAACCTTTAAGGAAGGTAAAAACCTCATGAATTAACACTGGAGAACTTTAATAAATAGAGCTCTACTTCAATGGAGAATACCTCCAACTGACTGCATGCCCACTGAAGGGAGCACCAGCAAACTGGAAGGTTCTTCCTGAAACACTCTCACTCATGAACCTGAAAAGACGTGACAATTCCTAGAAGGAAAGTACAGGGTAAACAGAAGACTCAGGACTTGACACTCAGAGATATGGATTAGAGAACAGTGTTAGGTCAGAGGCAAAGGGGACTAAAAACCCTGTCCTCTCTCTTCCCTTATCCCAAGACAACTAAAGGCTAGCTAATCCCCATGGATGAACAAACAAAGTAGGAAGCCTCAGCATAAAGAATGGAGCCTTAGGAGGACGGAGAGGAGCCAAACAGTGAAGAAGAATCAATGAAGGGGGATATAGTGGGAAAAGTTGAAAGACCAAAAGACTAAGAGGGCAGAGGGAGGGGAGAAAGCCCAAGCCACAAGAAGACAAACCAAAAGGCATAAAGACAGAAGGAAAAATAAATAAAACTTGAAAAAGAAAATAAATCATTTTGAACAAGTATTAAAATATAAAAGAATGATAACTGTAACAAATTAATAATTGATAATTACATAAGGCAAATTAAAGCAACTTTGAGCAACTATGCCCCAAAAGCTACTAAATTGGGCATACTCTTTGGCCCAGCAATACCACTACTAGATCTATAACCCAAAGAGAGGAAAGGAAAAGGAAAAGGACTCATATGTACA